ACACCATGGGAATGTACAGCAGTGACAACTAGTATTCAGAAGGTCAACCTATCAGAACTAAGGGTTCTGCTAGAGGAAATCATCATGTGAAGTGTTAGGGAATTACTACCTTTTGAATGAATTGGCTGTTTCTTGTTGTAAACTTCTTGTGCAATAACAGCTATGATTCTCCCCATTTACCATGCATTTCCATGTTATGTGTACATAAAATCTCATGATTGCATCTCAGTTTTATGGGCACAACTCTCCTTATACATTTGGGGTTATTGGATAACTTTCACCAGCTGTGTTTATTTTTCTTTAACATAAATCTGCCCAATTCCATTCTCTGGACAAAAGTATTTCAGCAAAGATACCTTTTCCAAGGACAAAACTGAACATAGATAAACATTAGCTCCTTTCACCCACAGATAGAGAAAAGAACCACTAACAGTTAAATCCTGAACTCCTTAACTTTACTCTGGGTTATTTACACAAGACCCTAATTTAAGCGATTTATAGTTCACATTCCTGGGTGAAGTTTTAGCCACTTGCTAGTTACTGAATTAAGGTAGTTACTTCCCATTGACCCAAGGAGATTGCCTTCAAGGCTAGGCAGGCATAGGTGCCAAACTTCTTTCTTGTGCAAATTAAGTTTGAATTCCTCCTCAGCCAGGGGCTATTCCTAGATTCCCTAATTGATCTTAGCCATTAGTTGACCCTACCAGAGAACTCCCCTTTAGCCACTCCCCTTTTATGTTGTAATTGGAAACTGACAATTACTGCTTTATGTGTGGATCCTTATCACCTCTCTCTACGACCCTGAAAACTTCAAGCCTTGCATTGCTTTGCCAAAGAATTACTGCATGTGTATATATACTGGTTCTCTCACAGCAGGGAAATGGATTTAGAAGAACAAAGATGAGGACAAAGATGGAAAGAACTAGGTAGAGATAAGAGAACAGCAGAAGGGACTGAGAAGAGCTAAGTACGAGAATAGAAAAGAAACTGTAGATAGAACTGACTTAGAAGAATAAAGTGAATGGACTAAAGAACTCAGTGTGCTTAGATTCATTTAATATCCCTCAGATTAGAATCTTCAGCTTGTTGTTCGACTCTTCCATGGACCCTGGGAGAAAACAATAAAGGATGGACCTATTATTGTTTTCATTACCTCTGAACATGTCATGTGGAACCAGAAATAATACTTAGTCTTCACATCATTGATCCATGTAGGCTTTCTGAGTCTTTGACACTATAACAAGACACTTTCATGTATAGAGTTCCTGCTTGAGTACTGCTCTATTAAATTTTTTTTTTGTTTTGTTTTCATGTGTGTAGTTAACCTCCTTAGGTTGGAGTTTTTCTTCTAGTACCTTTTGTAGGGATAGATTGATGAATAGATATTATTTAATTTTGACTTTGTCACGAAATATCTTGTATTCTTCATCTATTTAGTCTTTAAATTTAATTTTTTTTCTTGGTATGGTAGTATCGGCTTCCATTTGTGGTCTCTTAGAATCTGAAAGTCATCTGTCTAGGCCTTTCTGGCTTTCAGAGTTTCTGTTGAGGAGTTTGGTCAAATTTTAATAAGTTCTGCCTTTATATGTTACTTAACAGTTTTCCCTTGCAGCTTTTAATATCCTTCCTTTATTCTTTATGCTTAGTGTTTTGATTATTATGTGGCACATTAATTTTCTTTCCTGGTGTTCTTGAACTGTTTCCTTTGGCGTTTTTGAACTGTTACAGGCAAGATATGCTTTAGGTTAGGAAAATTTTCTTTTATAATTTTGTTAAATATATTTTCTGGATTTTTGAGCTGGAATTTCTTTTTCTATTCCTATTGTTCATAAGTTTTTGTCTTTATATAGTGCCCGGGATTTCCAGGATATTTTGTGTTAGGAATTTTTTAGATTTAACATTTGCTTTGACCAATTAGTGTATTTCTTCTAATGTATCTTCAAGACATGAAATTTTTTATTTTCTCTTCCATCTCTTGCATTCTGTTGGTGATGCTTGTATCTGTAGTTGCTGTTTGCTTACTTTGATTTTCCAACCTTGATTTTCCTTTTCTAGAATTCCCTCAGTATGAATTTTCTTTATTGCTTCTATTTCGATTTTCAGGTCTTGAACAGTTTCCTTCATCTGTTTTTTTTCTTTCTTTCTTTCTTTTCTTGGCTTTCTTGGTATTCTGTAAGGGATCTATTTATTTCTTCAATTTTTTTGTTTGTCTTTTCCTCAATTATTTCTATTTCTTCTCTTTTTCCCTCTTTCTTTCTTCCTTCCTTCCTTCCTTCCTTTCTTTCTGTCTATCTTTGTTTGTTTGTTTCTTTCTTTCTTTCTTTTTCAAGACAGAGTTTCTCTGTGTAACAGAGCCCTAGCTGTCTTCGAACTCTCTTGGTAGACCAGGAAGGCCTCACATTCACATAGATTCAACTGCCTTTGCCTCAGGAGTGCTGGGACTAAAGGCATGTGCTACCATGCCTGGCTTTCCTGAGTTTCCTTAAAGATTGTTTAATTTCCCTTTTAAGGACCTCTATTATCTTCATAAAGTTAGTTTTAAGGTTGTTGTCTTGTTTTTCAGCTGCTTAGACATATTCAGGTCTTGCTATCATAGGATACCTATGCTCTGGTGGTACCATATTGTCCTAGCTGTTGTTGATTGTGTTCTTTAACTGGCATTTAGGCATCCTAGTTTGAGATGATTATAGGTCTGGGTGCTGGTTTCTGAGTTTGCCTTTGTCGGATGGATGTTTTATTCCTGGGTTTCTGTTTTCCATTTGGATTTCTGGTCATTGTGGTCTAAATTTCTGGAAACTAACATGTACTATGGTCTAGTAGGGAGTCTCTGTCCAAGCTGAGGTCTAAACTTCTAGGGGATAGCTTGGCCTTTGATGCAGAAGGGGACTCTGGCCAAGTTGGGGGGTGAGATGTGGTGATGAGGATGGAAGTGGGGATTGGGGACAATGAGTGAAGGGAGAAGGTCTTCTTGTGTAATCTCTTTGGTTAAATTGACTACCCGATTGTTCTGGGATTACAGGTGCACACTGCACACCTGTGTCTACCTGCTTGTTCTGGAATTAAAAGTGCACACTGCACACCTGTATCCACCTGCTTATTCTGGGATTATAGTTACACACTGCACATTTGTATCCACCTGCTTGTTCTGGAATTAAAAGTGCACACTGCACACCTGTATCCACCTGCTTGTTCTGGGATTACAGGTGCACACTACACACCTGTATCCACCTGCTTGTTCTGGGATTGCAGGTGCACACTGCACACCTGTATCCACCTGCTTGTTCTGGGATTGCAAGTGCACACTGCAATATGGATTTTCATTTGGATTCTGAGGACCTGAACTCAAGTTGGTATCCTTGCATAGCAAGTGCCTTACCCACTGAATCCAAGGTCTGGGGATGTCTTTCCTGGAAAGTGCTATTGTGGGTTAGACTTCTGGCTTCCTGATCTGCACTAAGTATCTCCTGTTTATACTTGGACCCTGGGTGGAAATTAATTTCAGGCAGCTGCTCCTGATAGTCTGCTCCCCTGAGGAGCCCTCCCTGGTTTCCACAAATGCTGTTGGCTTGGGTAGAAGGTTCAGAGAAATTGAGCCCTATCATGCAAAAGCTGTTGTTCAATGACTTTGGAAGTACGCCTCTGCAAGGGATGTGATGTGTGGTGCTTTGGGATGACATTAGCAGAGGGGCACTCATTTCTGGGGAGATTAGTTTTCAGAGTCTAAAGGAGATGTTTAGTGCAAATGAAGGTATGACATGTTTGGATGTAGAGTTTGTTATCCAAACACAAAATGGCTTTCACAAAAAAAACCTTTTCCACTGTTCAAACAGTAGTCCAGCCTTTTCTTCTCTACTCCTCTACAGAAACAGACAACATGTGGGGTTGAGCACATAAATTCATTCTTCAGTTCATTGTAACTTCCTAATTTGAAACTTGTTTTGTTGGTTTGGATGCACAAGGGTCTTTACAAATAATAATATGCTTACTGCATTCTCTATTTTAGTCAAAACTGGTTCTTTTTGTTGTTGTCTCATGTAGCCCAGGCTGGCCCCAAACTCAATAAGTAGCCCAAGGTGAAGGTGAACTTCTGAACCTTCTGCCTCTACCTCCTGATAACAGAGATTACAAGTGTACATCACTAGGCCTAGCTTATGTGCTGCTCGGAATTTATTAGGGGTGTTGTGTATGCTAGGCAAGCCCTCGGCAAAGTGCACTGCATCCCCAACTAACACACTCTTATAGTTCCCATGTTCAGCCTCTCCTGCAGTTCCTACCCCATGTAATGGCAAATATCCTTACTAAGTCTGAAATGTAGCCAACATCACTTTAGTGTTGGTCTCTGTCCCTGTCTTCTGTCCTTGGCATTTACTATCCCTTCAAGCTCCTACCATATCTCTGCTGTTCCCCAGTTATTTCATTTTGCTAATTTTCCCAAGGTTTTACAATGTATTCTCTGCAGACAATGACAGTCACAGCACATTCCTCCCTCTCCTTGCCCACCTCACTTTTATGAAAGCATCATTTGCTTAGAAAACCTTTTCATCACTCTCTTTTTTTTCATGCCATTCTTCCTTGGGAGCCAGGATTAATTTCCCTTTTATCACATTCCTCTTTGTAACAGTATTTTCCTATGTGTATTGCTTTCAGTGCTATTCCAGAGTTTGTCACATGGTTGACTCATCATACAGCTTTCCTCAGGGTCTTAGTGTAATTATTTTTATGTTTTTTGTTTCCTTAAAAGTGTTGATGCTTTCTCCTCCCTCTCCCTGGAATCTCAGACTGCCTCTACAGATAGATAGCACTGGACTCTTAGGACATGAACAGGAAACAGTCTTGTGAGTCTGTCTGAGCAAAGATAACATATTTTTCCCTTTAAGATCATGAAGCTGAATGTGGAAAGATCCTGAAATTAAGGTCAGCGCTGTGTGGTTGTGTATACCGACTGTCAGATTGTGGAATAAAAATGGCTTTTATATGTTTGCTTTTTTATTGTTTTTCAGGGCAATGTCACTTTTTCCTGCTCAGAACCACAGATAGTCCCCGTCACATTTGTCAACTCCAGAAGCAGTTATTTGCTGCTGCCCGGCACCCCCCAGATTGATGGACTGTCAGTGAGTTTCCAGTTTCGAACATGGAACAGGGATGGTCTGCTTCTGTCCACAGAGCTCTCTGAAGGCTCAGGGACCCTGATGCTCATGCTGGAGGGTGGGACTCTGAGGCTCCTGATTAAGAAAGAGGCAGGACATGGAACTGAAATCCTTACAGGTACAGTCATTGCAGACTTCCATTTAATTCCTCCCACCCTCCTCTCCCTTCCTTATCCATCTTACTTTCTTCCTCTTTTCCTCCTTCTCTCCTACCCTCCCTTTCCCTTCCTGCTTCACCTTCCTCTTCCTCACCTCACTTCTCTTTTCTTTTGTTTATAATGGTTTCTCTTCAACCTAAGTCAACCAAGGTTGAATTTCTGCCTAAAACACACCAGTTCATACTTAGGGATGAAGGGTGGCCTAGTGGTGGCAAGCTGACTATAAATATGAAGGGGGTTGCTCTCTCTCTCATGCATTAATTAGACAAACAGATACAGTCTGAATTAACCACGTGTACTTCCACAAATCTCTCAGTTGTTTCTCTGTAGGATCATCATGAAAGTGGACGTGAGATTTCCTATCCAGGAGTATCTGGCACCCTCTATACCATCTGTGGAGTGGTCTGCTTAGTCCTGTGTAGAGATCTCTCATATTGAGTATTGTCTTTACCATGGTCACTCCAAGAAAAGGCTGATTTTCAAACTTTACACATAGCAAATGGCAGGTTACAAAAATGTCTCCAAGAATCACATAATTCAAAATGATAGAGCTGAGAATTTGTTTAGAATTTGTCTGGCTCCCATGTCAAATTTCTATAAGATCTTGGGGAGTTTCTTTATAGTCCCTATGTTCTATTTTATATTAATTAGTGAGCTTTAACAATTGTATTTCCTAAATACATTTTAAAGTTATTAAGTATATCCTGTTATGTGTGGCCTCAGGATATGATGAAACTTTTCTAAATGGTCATAAATTGGCTGAGGTTTGGGAAACACAGTCTTCTGTGTGTGTGTGTGTGTGTGTGTGTGTGTGTGTGTGTGTGTGTGCGCGCGCGTGTGTGCGTGCACGCCTCTGTTGGCCTCTGTGTATGTGCCTTCAAGCATGCTGTGTGTGCAGGTATGAGTGCATGTGTGCATATGTAGTAGACAGTAGAGGTCAGTGTTGAGTATTGTCTGTCAGCCTTTATTTATGCCATCTACCTTCCTTCCTTCTTTTCTTTTTTTCTTTCTTCCTTCCTTCCTCCCTCCCTCCCTCCTTCCCTTCCCTTCCCTTCTCTTCCTTTTCTTTCCTTCCTTTCTTCCTTCCTTCCTTCCTTCCCTTACTTATGTTTTTGAAACTGGGGTTTTCACTGGCCTGTAACTTGCCAAGTATACCAGGCTGAATGTTTGGTAAGATCCAGAAATCCCCCTGTCTCTGACTCCCAAGAGCTGGAATTACAAATACTCATCAGCACATGGTGGCTTTTTAAATGTAATTTCTGTGAATCTGAACTCAGGTCCTCATGCTTGTGTATAACCATCACTTTATTGACTGGGCCATCTTCTTATTCTTGTGTGGATTCTCAATCTCAATCTGCAGGCAATTCTGTTTTTCAGTACTCCAGATCTTCCATCTGGATTTCTCTTATTTTTTTAAAGTGAGTGTGTGTGTGTGTGTGTGTGTGTGTGTGTGTGTGTGTGTGTGTGTGTTGCATGGTGTGTATATCTCACTTGTGTAGAAATCTGCACACTGAAGTCAAAAGCTGCCTCTGTAACCTCTAAGCTGAATTTCTTAAACATGGAAGAATATAACCTTTTCCCACATTCCCCATTGACTTATGGGTATCTCCTGGTCATCAAGTAGCATCAAGTAACATGTTTTTCTTAGATGGCAAGGACTGAATGAGGTTGGACCATATGACAAGGTTGGGGCTGAGGCATCTGGATCAGTCAACAGACCCTGTGAGAAATCTGAACATAAATAATCCAAGTCAAATCTTCCATTGTAGTGCTGTGGACTATCATCCACCACAAATTTCACTATAATGTATTATTCTCTGTTTAGATGGCAGTCTTTTCCCATTGGTCTGTGAATTTCTTTACTCTGATAGACTAGATAAAATCAAGTTAAATATTAAAGATTATAATAATCAGTCTGGTCAGGCCATGGGAAAGCCTCAAGTGTGTATATATGTATGCAGTGTACACACGAGGTCATTGGAGGTCCTTTAATGTCCTGCTCTATCACTCTCCACCTTATTTTCTTGAAACAGGGTCTCTCACTGCAACTTCAAGACAGAAGAGTTTATTTCAGCTTGTAGTTTGAGGGCACAGTCTTGGTGGCAGGAGCTTGAGGCAACTGGTTGGGCACATTGAATCTGCAGTCCAGAAACAGAGAGTGATGAATGCCTAGCTCACTTTCTTCTTTTTAGTCAGTCCAGGACTCCAGCCAGTGGAATGGCGCCACCCACACTGACGGTCAGTCTTCCTACCTTAATTAACATAGTGTAGAAACTCTCAAAGACATGCCCTGAGTTGGTTCTAGAGCCTGTCAAATTGTCAGTCAATACAATGACAACTCCCCAAATAAAAGCCATAGTCTCTTTGTAACCTAATCTTGGACAAGGTAACCTATAATTTCTGCCATATTCCATTCATCATATGCCAAGAAATAAGTCCAGTTCATGCTTAAGTAGACTAATTCTACTTTCAAGGCTTCAAAGATGTCTCAGACAGAAGAGTGTTTGCATTTGAAGCAGAGGGACCTGCCATTGACCCCAAAACTCCATAAAAAGCTGGCCATGGTGGCTTACAATTGTAATCCCATCCTGGGGTGATTGGGAACAGGTGGATCCCTGGCTCTTGCTGGCCGGCTAATTTAGTTGAATCAGTAAGCGCCAGGCCAGTGAGAGACCTTGTCTCAAAGGAGGTAAATTGTGTTCGTTAAAGTGATACCTAAGACTGTCTTCTGATTTTCATGTGTGTGGTCACATATGCATGTGAACCCTTCCCTCACACAAACACACACATGCCCAAACATAAAGATGACTTTCTTAGACTATGACAGCCATTAATGAGAAAAGTGTACCTGAAACACTTAGCATTGAGAAGCTGATTAATAAATACCCATTTCCTCCATACTGAGTGAAGGGCCTTATCTCATAGGGTTGTAAAAGCTGTGGGTGAATCTGCATTTAGAGGAGCTTTCTAATATTTATTAGATTCCTGCTAATAGAGGCGAGTTATTCACTTTGAATAATAATATTTTTCATGTTCATAGTTATAAAATTTAAACCATGATCCTCCTCATTTGGAGAATAAAAGAGTGAGATGGCACTAAGCTGTTTCTCACTAATTGGTAAGATGTTTGAGCACAGAGATTTGTAGGCCTTGGTTCACAAATGCAGTCTCACTATGGTACAGGCCCTGGTGGTGGGTTTTCTAAAGAACCCAGGAATGTTTCTACTATTAAGCACATATTAGTCCATTTACACACACTTTGGAATGAGAGAGAGACTGGTAAGAGTTTCTGGGTTACCCAGCTATAAAGGAGAAAAAGGAGTTGTATCATTTCATACATGTGTCCCAAGTGCTGGACCAAATGGAAGGAAGCTAAATGTGTAACTTAACAAGTGAAGCTTGTGTTAGAGGCTAGCCTATAATTCTATCCCCAAAAGCATTTTCCTACACTTTACAAAATTTGAATCTCTTAATGTGTCTTTCAAATGGACTAAGAATTTATTTGTTCTCACATTTTTCTACTTGGAAAGGGTGAGAGGACTATAGATTTTTCTTGTCTTAAAGTTCTAAACAAACTTACTTTGAAATTAATATTCCTTTTGTGAGCTTACTGGGTTCATGAGAGAGTAAAATATTATACACATAAATGGCAATTACACAAGTAACCTGTGTGTGTGTGTGTGTACACATATTTGTGTGTATGTATATGTGCATGCCTATATGTTCAGGGATTACATGTACCTTTACACATATACAGAGGTCAGAGAGGGATACAGGGCATTTACTTTGTCACTCTGCTTTATTCCTTTAAGACAGGATCTCTCACTAAACCTGGAATTAAGCTGCTAGCCACCACGACCCAGGATCCTTCTGTCTCCACCTTCCATAGAGTTGGGGTTACAGAGACTTTTGATGTACAGGAGGTTTCACATTAGGTCCTCATGATGCTCAGACTTCTTATCTAATGAGTCTTCATTTAAGAAAGCTTTAAGAGCCAATAAGTCTCCCCTTGACACACAATGTGCCTTGTAAAGCAGAATGTGACTCAATTTATTAATAGCTCAGGGTATCCAGAGCTATCTGTGACTAGGTCAGGGTTTCTTGTATCTCTGTCTCAGAAGGAAATTGATTCTTGTAGAAGGACAGCACAGAGCTATCTGCTACCTTTCTACTTACATTTTTTCCTACAAGGGCACTGCAGTTCCAAGATATTTGGGGTCCTTTGCCCTGAAAGTGAGAGAAAGGCTTGTCAAGTAAATAAAATACCTGCATAGGAACAATCTGAATTCTATTGTGTAGGGGGATGGAATTTGAGAAAGAGTATAATGCCCACCTTGTATTTTTTTTCTTCGTCTCTTTTCTTGAAAGAGCCATACGTGTGAGTATTGAGAGAGATACAGGACCCCATTTCTCTGTCAAGGAGTTGATGTTAGATCCAGTGAGTATTGTGCACGCCCTGTTGATCACAATAGACCTTATCATAATGAACAAATCTCATCAAACTTCATGATAGGGTAATTTTAATACTTGCACATCTTGAAGAAATATTTGTGAATTAGATGGTGAGCTCAAGGAACCAAAGTGGCATTCACCAAGACCTTTCATTTAGATTGCAATATATCATTTTTGATGATTTCCCTGAAAATACTGGACAGGTTTGGCCTATTTGTTTCTTCTCCAAGAAATTGTAGAAAGAGCTACAAGGAGTTTTAGGGATCAGACTGTGCTTACTCTGGGTCAGTTTCCTTCCTGTCACTGTGATAAAATGCCGCAAGATAAGAAACATAGGGAGGAATGCTTCTTTTGCCTCAGTTTCAGGTTGCAGTCTCTCATGGTAGAGAAGGCATGGCAGCAAGGGCTTGTCTCTCACGGTGGAGAAGGCATAGCAGTGAGGGCTTGATGGTGATAGTCACATTGTATCCACTGCCAGGAAGCAGACAGATGATGCTTGCTTGTGGTT